TGCCCTGTGGAGGCTCTGTTTTGGGGGTGAAGTTGTATAGGCACAAGAACTGCCTTGCGGATCTGCTGCCCTGGCTGGAATGCTATCCTGTCATCTGTATGCTGGAATGGGAGGTGGGTCAGTAAGTTAACTAACCTTCAACACTCCCAGAAAGAACTTTCCTCCAGGAGAGAGGCAGTTACTGAAAGCTACACCCACAGCTGCACGTTCACTCTACTGAGTTTTGTGTGCGTGTGAGTGTGTGTGTGTGTGTTTTGTGGGGGGAGATGGTCAAGAATCAGTCATTAATAGCAAGGTGACCTCAAACTCTCATGTCACGATTTATCCACTCACAAAACCAGAAGGCAAGAACAACAGTAACACCACCACCCACTGCTGTCAAGGTGATTCCGACTCCTGGCCGCCCCCAGGTGTCACAGGGCAGTTGTGCTCCACAGGGTCTCCAATGGCTGACCTTTTGGGGAAACCAGAAGACTGCCAGGCCTTTCTTCCACAGCGCCTCACCTCCAGTCTTTCAGAGCAGCTGAGGCCCCAACAGGCACTCCAGAAATAACAGCAGCGGTCTGACTCACAGCGACTCTATGCACAACCGAACAACACATCCTCCAGGCCTGTGCCGTCCTCACAGCTCTCCCACGGTGCCACTCATCTTGTTGAGGGTCTTCCTCTCCTCCGCTGCCCCTTCCTCCACTTTACGAAGCATGATGGCTTTCTCTCGGGACTGACTTAGTATCTCCTGGCAACATGTCCAGGTGCACGAAACAAAGTCTCGCCATCTTTGCCTCTAAGGACCACCATCCTGGCCCTACTTCCTCCAAGAAAGATTTGCTCTTTCAGCGGTCCGTGGTGTTTTCACTATTCTAATTCAATATCAGTCATTAAATGCAGGGATTCTTCTGCTTCTTGATTCAACGTCCAACGTTCACGTGCATGACATGATAACACGCACCTGTTACCTTGTTCCCAAGTGCGGAAGCCCTGAAAGCACTGTGGGTTAAGTGCTGGGCTGCTCGC